TTTCGATTGCATTAAGGCTTTATGATATCCTTCACAGTAGACATTTGAACATATACTATTGCTGATCACCACTTTCACCCACACACCCACACCCACACCCACACACACACACACAAACACCCACACACACACAAACACCCCCCCACACACACACACACTCTAGATGTGTGCCTCCCCCCCTTTATGTGTCCAATTCCCCCATGTAAATTACACCTGGCACACACACACAGAACAATTTGACACATTTCCCGCTCTTATGTGCCCATCCCCCCACATGGATCACACCTGGCACTCAGTGTCTGTTCTTTGTATATTTACTGCAGTTTTTCATGTATACCAGTAGTCTGATACAATATGTACAGTTTGAAAGGGTGTTAAATGAAATGTGGTGATGATTAATGGTTTTTGTGTTAATATAATTGCAGTTAAAACAGGACCGGTCAAATTTGACCACAAACACCAAAGTAAGGGGGGGAAACGAAGACAATAGGAGGGTTAAACAAATTACAAGAACTCGTTGAAAGAATCCTACACCAATTCCAATATATTTTTTTGCCAGAGATATGCCTATAGATATCTTGGAAATAAGTCATTCCGCACGAAAAAAGGATTTTAAATGATTTATCGAGTCACGAAATCTGGTCAAAACTATCCAACTAAACAACTTTTACACTTACACTCAACTTTAACTTGTATTTGAATCCAAATCAGAATCAGGTGTATTGCAAAGTAGGTTTACATATACAAGGAATTTGCTTTGGGGATAATGGTGCATACATAAACAAAATCAATTGTAAGAAAAGGACAAAAAATAGAAGTATTACAGAAAACTCTTTAAAAAACTATTATGAAATTAGAACTAAAGAGGAATATACAAATCTACACACATCTCCTCGCTTCTTAATCTTGAAATGTATTTAAATGACATTTTATAATGGTTTCATTTGCCCTTTATCCTAATGTTTTAGAGCATTTTGCATTGCCTTGTTGTTGTTGTTGTTGTTGTTGTTGTTGTTGTATAAATAAAGATTAATGATCATGTTTATTTTGTGTCGCAGATCCGATCCGAGAAGCCCATATTTTCTTCCAATCCTGAGCTGGACAACTTGGTACGATGCTCAGTGAAATCACACCGAAACATGCTTTTACCACCACAGATGCATTGTGGGATACGAGTTAATAATGAACCCCCTGTCTCCTCTCCCACAGATGATCCAGGCCATTCAAGTTCTGCGCTTTCATTTACTGGAGTTAGAGAAGGTGAGTGGGAGAGAAGACTAACATTTGGTTTTGTATGGAGAATAGTGTGTGAGCTCGTAGGGAGGTCTGACATCAAGGCGTGTCAGTCGATAAAAAAAAGAATTGGATTATTGTATTTTAACTGAATATTTATTCAATAAAAAAAAAAAGTTTCGCTGGTTTTTCAGTAAATCTGAGAGGGAACATTTGATAAGACTTTAAAAGAGTTTCAAAAGTGTCTTCACGAACGCATGTTGAGGCACACACTCCTATTGAAAATGTACCGTTATTTAAAATATGTTTTGATACAAATAACATTTGATCATTGCAGGAGATAGATACAAAATAATAGCAAAAAGTTAATTAAAAAGCCTATTTTAAATTATAGGAGGCGTGTGGCGCAGTGGGTTGTGCGTTGGTGTTCGGACCAGGGGGTCACAGGTTCAAACCCCACTGCAGTCAGCATGTCGTTGTGTCCCTGAGACACTTCACCCCAAATTGCTCCTGTGGGGATTGCCCACAGTATTGAGTATGTAAATCGCTTTGGATAAAAGTGTCTAACAAGTAACATGTAATGTGTTGTAATGATACATTTGACAAAAATGCCATTTTAGGGGTTGCGCAAGAGCTACTGAAACCACTTTTCCGACAACTTAATTGAAATGTTGTCTTAGGGCATGTATATTAACATATGAAGTGCATGTGTTAGCATTTGAGGCATGGATTATTAGAAATGTCACAGGTGGGACACAAATGCAACCATCCCTAAATGTTATCAGCACTACAGTTTACTCAAACCATTGTCCCTTGCACGATGAATCATCCTATTATATTATGTCTAAAGTATATTGTATGTTGCGCTGAGGATTCAGATTATATTTTTACGCTGTAGCTATCCTGCATATGACAATCAAGCTGTTCAACCACTACCAGGACCCTTTCAGGAAGTGTTGTTAAAGGAGAGGTGTCATGGCCATTTCCACTGATCATAATTCCATTGTTGAGGTATACTAAAATAAAAAATACTGTGCAATTTTCCAAACTCACATTGGTTTCGCAATCTCTGTAAAGTATGTGTATTCAGCAGTATTCACTTTCTCCACTAAACGGCTCGCTGCAGCTTCCCCCTCCCTGTGAGCCCAGTGTGCTCTGACTGGTCGGTACGTTTTGAATCGCGCTGAGCTCCGTGGAGGTGTGATTTCCTTGTTTAGCGATGTTTACGTCCGCCCCAGTGGCAGAGCGTCACTGGCGGCCGGCTCCATCGCTGACTGTGTTCACAAGCTGCAACTCAGCCACCCCGATGCACCGGCAAT